ATGGATTTTTTTCATAAGAATATTATGTCTTCTGGGCCTCATTCTCTAGTGACTTCATTCAGAACAGGATACATTTTACAAACCCTTTTCTGATAAGATGCTGATTTCTAGCAATCTCAGTCTGGTGGCCTTCTTGGGCAAAGGAACATGTATAGATTGTGAGCAATGTGGGAAATCTGGAATTAAGATATTTGGAGAGTAGTTATTTTTGTTTTAGGGAGGAGTAGTTTTTGTTAACATCATATCATGTTGATAGAAGGCATTTTCACTTCAGCTTTACAATGCCTTTCGCTTGTGAACACCGGTGTCTGTAGCCCTTTTATGTGCCCTAGCTTCATTGTCTCTCCTTTCAGAAGGTGCAGGTTGTCTACATAGGGTGACTTGTCCTGTAGCATAGGTTTTCTATTTCAAAGATCAGTAAAAATGAGATATGGAGAAGCAAAGTGAGATAATCACTGTTAAAGCAAAACATAAGAGGTGAATAAGGTAGGCTAGCGACAGCCAGTGGTGTGATAGTTAAGGCAGCTGGATTCCACATGGCTGGTTAGATAGTTCAAGACCTGGAACCAGTAGGTTGATGAACAGGCTGAGTGTGTGTGCATCTGTGCATGTGTATATACATGTATGCAAAGTCCCAAGAGGAGAGTGGAAGAGAAGGGATTGTGGTGTGGTTATCTCTCCATTAGGGGTGACTTGTCACCCCTTCCAGCTCACCCTCACTGTTATTCTCTTGTGCATGAACATGCCCTACAGCAAATTGAAAAAAAAAAGATAAGATAAAGAAATAAATGAAATAGGGTAGGCTAGAATTTGAGATTCTCAAGTTCTGGTCTAGTTTACTTTCTCTTATATAGCTTTTCAGAGTCAAATAAACTTGGGTCCAAATGATGGACTAGTTATAGGCTTTTATGAAATAATAGTGATAGTATGATAATAATAATAATAATGATAGCTGAATCATCTTATGCTTATCGTTTATAAGGAATTGTCCTAAATGCCTAATATGTATTAACATAGTTAATATTTAAATAAATATTTGTAACTTAATCAACATTTAAAATTTTTCCTTGATGGAAAATGCAACATGTAGGTTTTTTTTCTCTTCATGAGAAGTAGAATTGTTTGTACTACATTAGCCCTGCTTGGTTTTATTTGCCTAGAAAGCTCTGAGTAGATAGAACCCTCAAATAACTTAATGTCTTGGGTTCATTGTACATTAGGAGAGTGTTTTTCAGAATGTGTCTTACTGCTTTGGGTTCAAGGCTGAATGTGGCTCTTCCTTGTCATGTTTACATTTGCGTTAAAGTGGTATGGACGCATCTGATTAGGTAAAGTTCGTCGCTGGAGGCAATATTATGCAATTGCTGGAAATCTTACTCAGTTCCAATGGTTAACTGTCTTCCGTGGCATTTAACTCCTGTTTTTTGTTCATTTATAGTCAAGTGAAGATAGTCAAGTGAAGATAGGAGGTTAGCTAGCTTCTTGGGGAGACTCTCTGTCTGATAATATTGTCTAAACTACATTACAAATACAGGAGGAAAAGGAGAAAAAGAGGAAAAACGTATAGGCAACATGGTCATTCATTACTCCTTAAATGTTTAGGAAGTCTATTTTTTTTTTTTTTCTAAACATGATCCAGCAATACAGTTAGCCTGAAAGGAGTCTCCCTGTGAGTGCACAGCATGGGACACACTGCCTAGCTTCCCAGTGTCTAGTTCAAGTTCTACCTTTTTTCTTGGAATCTCAGAACTGTGCTTAGCACATAGTTAATGCTCCAAATATAGTGACTTGCATGGATCAGGAATTCAGGAGAAAACTGAAATGCAAGCGATTTAGAAAGAAATTGCTTTGAAAGTAGAGATATATGTTCTGTTGGGAGATGGCAAGTGGGCTGTGGTACAGATTGGGGGAAAAAGACAAATGACTAAATATTTCTACTTATCAGGAAAAGGATAGAAGAGAGTGAAGGATCCAACTAGAAATGCCTGCCCTGAAATTGAAAATTTAGCGTGCTTTCTCTACCCCTCCTTCCAGTTTTACCAGTGGCAGATGATAGTCAATCATGGAATTTTTTTTTTTCCAAATGAATCAGGAAATAGAGTCAGAACCTTTTTTTTCTTGTTTCCCCTAGAATCCTTCTTAGGTCATTGTGTGTGGCTGCCAGCAGCAAAAAAAAATCCCACAATCATTTCTGTGAATAATCAACAAAGATAAAGCCGAAAGCGGCAAGAATTTATTTAGCTGTGTTGGAGGACAGGGCGTGGCCAAGGGCTAACTTGCCCAGTGATGAGTTCCCAGAATAGAAGTTTTCAACTCTTTATACACCCTACTCTTCTGTGTATCCTTGTTATCTGCAACATAAACCATGAGGGTAATACCCTCATGGTTTTCCCCAAACTGTTCTGTGCACCTTTTTCTTTCACCTGACCTTTATGACCCTGTTTTTATTAAGGTGGCATTGAATCTGTTAACTCGGACTTGCAACATACATTGGTTGATTAAGAGGAGCTACAACATAGATTCTTTAAACTATCCTGTTTAAACAATCTAAACATCTGTGGGTAACTACCATGGTAAATAATAACATTATTATACTTTTCTCAATTTAACCTGTTACATTGTGTCCCTTGTGTCTTAATAAGATTTCTTGCCTGGGGACCCAGTCCTGGTTGCATTTTGGTGACCATTGTCTAAAGCAAGTGGCTAAAGTTTCCTCCTCTGAACAAACTGGTTTATTTATGACCTTATTTGTTACAATAGTTACAGTTTTTATTAGTTACAGATGCAACAAGCACCAGTTACCCTTAAAGTATAAGAAAGAGGAATAAAGTAAAGCAATAAAAATAGGGTTAAAAAACTGATTTTTCCTTCCAACTAAATGGAGTTAGTATATAATTTGAAATCTATTTATCACTGAAGCTATTATGAAATCAGAAACAATGTCATCTCTGAGGTAAGAGAGTCAGAGAAAACTATATTGAAGCAGGACTATGAAATGTAGTCAGACGTTGGGGGAAGAAGGGATTCCAATAGGGAAGAAATGGATCTTAAGAACTCAGCTGGGTCGGCATGGATGGATGGGTGAATGAATAACAATGAGAGGTGTATCTGAATTCAGAATGTCATAGTCCCCTCATGACACTTCCTTCATTTTTAAACAACCTTGGGCAAGCTCCATATGTCGGATCTTGACTGGCAAAGACGGAAGTTCGGCAATATCCTGATAATTCAGGCAAAACCTCCACTTCTGTTCAGGGTACAGAAAATACCACTGGGAAAGAAGATTATAAATAAAAATTTGTTTTTCTTCTATAACAGCCTGTCATTATCATCTTTATGAATTTATATGGCATGTTTGACTTAAGAAGGTAAATGGTATTACAGATCTGTTTGTAAACTATTTTTAAAAGTACTATATGATATAGGTTAACATTAAAATTCAATACGTGTTGACAAGACTCAAGCTCTTATTTCTAAGCAACTGAGATAAGCTCCATGTTAGACATAGTTTGACTAAAACATTCAATAAAGAGCGCAAAATTTATATTGAAGGACAAAATATATAATCAACAGAGAATGCCTTGATTTGGTATTTTTTAATAGAGTTATTTGGAGTTATGTTCACATAGTTTTCTTTCCTTGTAGGTTTTTGCCATAGTGCACATGCACCTGCCAGAGAGCGACAGAGAGGAAAAGTGAGAAACCACCCCTCACCCCACCCCCCGCAGTAGGGATGGCTCTGATACAATCCCTTTTCCTGCATTCTGCCCTTGGGATTTTGGGCAAGCACACACATGCCCAGCATGATTTTCAAGCTGCAGGATCCAAGACTCAAACTGTGGTTGGCGATGTCGGAATCCAGTGCCTTCACCACCATGCCACCTGCCAACCCTGTTCACATAGTTTTAACCAAATATCACCAAATATCTTGGTAAGCTTAAATTTGTGGGGCTCACAGTTCTACTCTGCTTCTTACTTTAGCTAATCACACCTCCCTTTGAACTATTTATTGTAAGTAAAAATAAGTTATAAGTATTTTTGTTGTGAAAAATTAAAAATATGTAAAATCCTATAACCAGAGTAATGCTTGTTGACATTTGAGTGATATATATACCTTTTCAAAAAAAACAGAAGCAAATAGAGTCACCCCTCCAAAACCATGGGTTCCAAGTGTGCTGAATCAACCAGTGAAGAAAAGAAATATGAAAGGAAAAAAATTACAATAGCACTTTACAAGTAATACAAATAAAAAGCAGTACAGCATCACAACTATTCGCATGGCATTACATTGTAGGCATAATAAGTAAAGTAAAGATGATTTAAAGTGTAAGGAAGCACGCATGTAGGTTATATGCAAATACTACACCATTCCATATAAACACTTGAGTATTTGCCGAGTTTGGTTTCTGTGGTGGTTTCTGGAACCAGTCCCTCATGGATACCAAAGATCAAATCTATGTGTATTTATGTGCACTTTTTTTGAGAAAATTGACTCTTCTTTTTTTTTTACCCATATGTTGTGATTCCTTCCATGTCAAAATTATTTTAACGTAACACTATAGCTATATCGCTTTTCCTAACTACACAGTATTCTTTTACATAGGCTTAATGCAAGTTCCTCAACCATTTCTAATTTTTGGATATAAAACTATTTCTAAATGTTATAATCATATAAAGAAGTGAAGGGCCATGTGGTGACATAGCAGAAATGCAGTGGACTCATGTGAGAAGTGTCCTGGGCTGTGTCTTGGGACCTCCTTGAGCAGACCGAGTGCACACATATGCCCGTGATCGGGCCACCTGAGACTAGGGGTGAGAGTACTGCTAGGGTTCTGTTGAAGTGCCCGTCTGTCTCACTGTTTCTCTTCTTCATGGAAGAAATGAATAAGTAAACTTAAAAACAAACCAACCCCAAACACAAACACATAAAGAAATGAGATAATATCCATGCAGCCAACTATTTGCATCCATTCTTAATATATTACTTGTAATTCACCTAGGAAACACTATTGGAAGGATAAAGAATGTACACATTGTTCACACTTCCCGTGCTGCCTGCTGAATTGCCTTCCAGAAAGATTCCAGATGTTTTCACTCCAAATAGCTGTGTGGGAGGACTAGGAGCGTGGCCACATCAGGTATTATCCTTTCTTCTTCTTTCTTTAATTTTTGTTGTCGCACACTCGATACATGTGCTATTGTACAAGGGGGTTTTTGAACAATTCTTGGAAAACACATATAGTGAACAAACTTTGTATGGATTTCAAAATTGTTTTGCATGAGAATAAACTCATGCTTGAATTCTATTTTTCCATGAACTGTTTGAAGTCCTCTCATAATCTCATTCTAATTTGATATTTTGTTTTACTACTGAGTTTGAATACGTGTTTATTGGTTGTTTGTATTCTTTATTTTTTCTTTTAAGGTTTTTGCTATAGGGTATGTTTTCTCACCAGTGAGAGGGAAAGTGAGAAACCACACCCCAGGAGCAAGGCCATGCCATAATCCCTTCTCTTCCATTGTCTTCCTGAGATTTTGGGCATGCATGCATACACAATCCTGTTTTTTCCTAGTAGTTTTGTCCATTTCTTACTGATTAAATAATAATAATATATTCATTAAACATACAAACCCACTGAAGTATATGAATTTCAGTATTTTAGTAGATTTCAAATCCTCTATATTGGAATTTTTAATAGGAATCTACCCTAATTACTGCTTTCCTAAATTGTTCTTACAGCAATACTTGGTACACATATGTATATATATATTAAATATGGCAAAAACTGCTATGAACTGCATTCAAGATAGTTTTTCTTTAATGATAATAACTAAATTGTATACCTAAGTAGAGAATAAAATTTAGTCCATCAAAAGTAAAATAGAAAATTGAATCAATGATCTATCAGCAAACAATAAGGCTACTTTTTCTTCATTATTGAAATATTTTAGACAGATGTCGGTTTGTCTCATGACCTATTTTTTTTTATTTGTCAAGTAACTTCTTCAATTATGCATTGCCTAATAATGCTAATGTCAACACAGCCAGAGTATTAATGATGTAAGAACCATATCTTAATATAAAACAAATGGAAGAGATCCAGATTTTGCCTTCTCTGGACTGGCTTCCAGGGTCAAGTGCAGGATCTTGCTAGGCCTTCATGGAGGATGCAGAATGGTCTGGGGAGCAGGTGGGAGTGGCAGCCTCTTCACCAGCTCTGCAGTGAAGTGCTGTCTGAATCTGACCCTACGGTTAAGAATCATCACACTACATCGTGATTCTCCACCAAGCTCACATCTCAGAGCTTCATCTTTGATTCAGTTGGTACAGTGGGATGGATATTCATATCTTTATAGGCATGTCGCCTTCCCACCCCTAATTTTTTTTCCTCATGGTGTTTGGTGTTAGGGTGAAGGGCAAAGGCCACATTTGAACATAAGTCAGATTTTTTTATTTTATGTGGGGGAAAGCCGGGGGCGTTTGCAGAACTTAAAACAGAAATCAAACCTTTAAAGGTCGACTGTATGTGTCCTGCCACTCATATTCTCTTCTGGCTTCTAACTTTCCTTAGGCTTAAAATATATCTGGAGCCGCTGGTTCCTTTGTTCTTTGGAGAGTTCATTTTTTATTCTTTCAAAAATACTGTTTATGTGAGTGTGTGTTTTAAAGGGCAACAAACAAAATAAAGTTTTTGTTGATCATGGTTTCAGAGGCTTGTTGCTTACAATTCTGCAGAACAGAACAGGGCCTGCTATTATTTTAGTGAGCGTCATTCTGCACCCTAACTTGGCAGCATTCTTAGTGAGCAGAAATTCCTGGGCTCAATTGCTTACTGACTATAAAATTAGGAGGGTTGGAGCAGGAACAAGAGTGGACACCTCATTTTGAAATTAAACTCGATGACAAAATATATCTAAAAAAACCTAATTTAATATTTTCCACTATCTTTTTTAAAAAATTTTTTCCTATAAACCCAGATACAAAGTTTGGCACTAAACTTATTTCTTATCTGGTGCCTCTTACTGGTTATATAACTGTCATAGGCCAGAAGGTTATAGTTCATTAAAACAATGTGTTGAGTCCAGGAATGCTGGTTAGAGGGCTCTGCCACATTCAGGGGTATAATAAAAATAAAAATAAAAATAAATAAATCCTTAATTTGCTTCACATTCTACAATAAGTGTATAGACTCATTTTTTTATTGCAATTGCTTCTCTTCAGTATGTAAGTAATAGAGATGTTGAAGGCTACAATGAGCAAAAAATACTATAGTGAGGTAACTATTTTCTTCATTAAATAGATTTGATGTTTTTATTTTAGATAACAAAATGCGATTAACTGAACATTTCACTGTATTTGATTCTTAGGAGAAAAATATATTTCTTATCCCTGTACATTGACCAGACTTTCTTCTTTGTCCTAAATATTCCCATTTCTCTCTCTTTCTTTTGAGATCCTCCAGTTTTAACTCTGCTCATCATCCAAGCCAACCCTTCCATGTATTCATTCTCTGTGGCTGTATGCTGGGAAGAGTGTATGAACAAAACCAGGTTTTATCCTTGAACTTAGAGTTTACAGAACTCTCCCTTCCTTCTCTCTCACTGCAACTACTTGTCTCCCCACTGGAAATAATTGCTTTCCTTTTTATATTTCTCTTAAACATTTTGAAACTTAAATGTTTGTCATGGTCACTTCTCCATTTTGAGTTCACATATTGATTCAGTAACTTGTATCCTTCTTCTCACCTTCATTCTAAACCAGTTGATCTCAAATAATAAGGTAACCTGGGTTTAATTATGTTGATAAAGCTGATACTGAAGGCAACTGGGGTTCTGAATACAGAAGCTCTGAATTTTACTGTAACTAGCATAGTAGACAGCATTCTGTAATAGGCACACTCCCCCATGGGCTAACAGTGCATGGCGTGGAGCAACATGACAATGAACTTCCGGTAAGCTCTAAAATTTACAAAGAAGGGGAGCTGGATCTCAAGATAGAGAGAGAAGGGACCAGCAGTTAGTGTAATGGCTATGTCGCTGGATTCCCACGTAGTTGACCGTGGTTCGCGTCCCGGACCTGATGGCTTAAAATTCACGCCGGGCGCGTGTGCGTGCGTGCCCAAGATCTCAAGAGGAGAATGGAGGAGAAGGGATTGCGGTGTGACCATCCCTCCGGGGGGTGATTTCTCACTTTCTGTCTCTCTGTCTCTCTCTGTCTGTCTGGCGAGCGCACGCGCCCTATAGCAAAACCCTCTCAAAAAAAAAAGATAGAGAAGAAAGGAGGTGAGCTGCTCATGAGTGAATAAGCAAGCTTTGTTAGTTCAAGCTGGTCATGAGTGAATAAGAATCATAGTTAGGTTGGATGTGAGCTTCACTTTGCTTCTGGAAGGGAAAGAAGGGTTTTCATGACAACAAACTCTGATTATTTCTCCATCAGGGATTCATTTTTTTAAAAAAAATTTTTGGAGAGGTTTTTGCTATAGGGTGCATGCGCTCGCCAGCCAGACAGAGAGAGGCAGAAAGACAGAAAGCGAGAAATCACTCTCCAGAGGGGATGGCTACGCCACAATAACTTCTCCTCCATTCTCCTCTTGGGATCTTGGGCACACACGCACATGTGCCCAGTGTGAGTTTAAGCCACCGGGTCCGGGACTCGAACTGCGGTCGACTACGTGGGAGTCCAGCGATATAGCCATTATGCTAACTGCTGCTCCCTAGGGATTCATTTTTTAATTTATCTTTTATTGATTTTTAGACGTTTTCACCTTAGGGCATATTCACTTTCCGAGAGAGAGAGAGAGAGAGAGAGAGACAAACACAGTGAGAGGGAAAGTGAAAAATCAGCTCCTGGAGGGATGGCCACACTGCCGCATTCCCTTCTCCTTCGTATTCCTTCTGGGATCTTGGGCACACACGCACAGGTGCGCAGTGTGATTTTTAAGCCCCCAAGTTCAGAACTTGAACCACGGTCAACCATGTGGAAGTCCAGTTGCTTAAATTTATGTTTTTAATCTTTTGGAGTAGCTAAAACTCACTAAGAATTCACTAAATATTTTAAAATAAATTTATTAGGAAATAGACATTTAGGGATTTAATCTAAAACAATAAAGGAAAAACAAACATTCTTGGGCTGAGTAAATTCCATCATTTGCTACTTGACAGTATATTTTATCTCATAATCATTTTCATAATATTTACAATGTCAAGATGCAATCTAATTATTAATCTACAGTCAGTTTTCTGTACTTGTTTCATACTTCACATTTTCTATACTCTTCTATATTTATAGTTTTCTATACTTCATTTTTTTCAGACAAAAATATGAATGTGAGTATCTTCACAAAGTTCTCAATGATATGTTAGCAATAAAATCTTCAAGTCACTGTAGGCTAAACTACTCGAGGGAGATCTGAGAAACCCTTAGTCGGCGGAGTCAAAGAGCTTTTTAGAAATCTTAAAGATTTTTATGTCATCATGAGCTGGGGTGTGGTAGAAAGGAGAAACTTAGGAAGAGAAATTGAGGAGGTAGAGAAACTTTAGTGACTGAGCTTAAGAAAGCCAGGATGATGTTTCAGCCACATGTTTTAAATACTTTAATTAACCTATGTTTCCACCCACCAACCATGTGATGTTGGTCTTTACTGATAATAGAACATCTGCTGACTTGGTCAGAGAAGCAGCCTTCATTTAATCAGGGATATGGTCTGATTTTCCTAACAGCAAAATTTGCCTTAGGGGTTACCATTAATTAATTGTGTCTAAATATTAACTGACATCCATCCTAGGGGGTAAGCAAAACTCCCCCCCAGGGCACATCCTCTGTGGAAAACTTAACATTTCCATTATGAAAGCCAAGATGATGAAATACTTTTAGAAATGTGGCTATTGAGTAGAGGAGGGGGCAAACATCTCCTTCAAATCAGGAAAGAAGAGAAACAAGAGAAATTGCTCCAGGGGGAAGGGATGAGTTGGAGAGCTGACTCATACCAGATTTCAAAATAATCAAATCAAAGAAGAAAGGAGGAATGGCAGGTTTGCTGAGGAGTCCTCTTGATTTAGAGTTGCAGTATTCACAAAATGCTCAGAATTGTGATGGTCAGAAGATCTCTTATGAGAACTTCACCTTGAAAATGCCTCT